GGGGAGAAACAGTGCTCTTCTCTTGGCTTTGGTTTTGGTTTTTTTGGTTTTTTGTTTTTGTTTTTTTTTTTTGAAATCGGTTATTTTTTGGTCAAGCTCTGGATGGGGATGGTGTGTGTGTTGCAGCGCTCAGGATACCTCACACTTCTCTGTGTGTGGCAGTCGTTAATTGTATGGCAGTGCTCCCCTCCCCCCCCTCAGCGCAGCGTGACAAGGGTTTGCATGATCCGCCTCGTTTTTAATGTGCACTCAAATAATCCTCCTAATTTCGGCACTTTTATTATTATTTTTTTTTTTTTTGTTTTCAGAGTTGTTATATCATTTTGTCTCGCTTCTTTAAGAGATGCCAGTATAAAATCCAAACAAATCAACCAGAAAAAATTCTGTTCTTTACCCTAGCGTTCCTGCAAAGGAGGAAAAAAAATGCATGGAAAAAATATATTGCCACTAATGCTGACTTTGTCCCTAGAAGCAGAACATGGCTATGCATCAGTGTTACCCTTCGATAGTGACTATTCCAGAAAGAAAACAAAGGCAGGCACCATGGCCAGAAAATCCCAGAATAACAGGTAATAGACGCACCGCTTTTTCAGAATGAATCGGCAGCTTTTCCAATGTGTCTAGCTTATGTGCACTGCATACATTTATTAAAAATAATAACTAATCCAGTGTCTTAGTTTCCCCCATCCCGGTAGTCGCCATTTTTTCCCTGGATGGGCTTGGCTCTGTTTTGATCTCTCATATAAACACTGCCACGCGTACACCATCTCCTTAGTACTCACTGCACTTCTAAACCATCCGCCCTCATCGCTCCTTCTGCTCCGTGCTCACCGACAGCGGCTTTTACTGCAGATCTTAACACCATAATCGCCTGGAGGGGGAGCGTGTGCGGGGCGGCGGGGGGAGACCCACCCACGCACTTGAACTTCTCCTGTAGGTATTAAGTGAGAAGGTGCTGGAGTAAACTTGACCTGTCCGGGTGCTTCTGCTGCACCACTGGGTCGCCAGCCCCACCGCATGCAGATCCATCAACGTGCATGACTCGGTCTTTATTTATCGCAATTATTGTCCGCTTTTTTGTCGTGGTAGTGGTGGTTTTGTTGTTTTCCCTGCAGCCGCTACCTGTGCTGCGATGACACGAGCAGAGGGCTGCTGTGCGCAGGCTCTCTGCAGCTTTGTTTGCTGCTCGGGCAGCGGCTGTGTACGTGCAGGAGGCTGTCTTACAGGGACAGTGCCGGCCCCTGCCTGGGAGCTCCTCCAGTCCTGTGCTGTGCCTGCTCTGCTTTGCTCTTCCAGGGCTGCTCCGGAGAGGACCAAGGACCATGCCCAGCTGGGCCTGCTTCGCCCCGGAGCAGCGATGCTCTCCCCAGCGCAGGCTCTGCTCTGTACGGTCATGCTGGATGGTGGCTCCTGTAGAATAGCCTAAAATGAACTCGGCTTGCACGTGACTTGTTTTCCAAACGAGCAGTGAGTCTCGGCGGGCCCGCTCCGCTCTCGCTCTTCCAGCGGGCATCCCGCATGGCAGCGGGCAGCTGGGTCTGCTGGCGCTGGGGAGGCGTGGGGCAGAGGGCCAGCGGCTGCTCGTGGGGCATCAGAGGTGCAAACTGAAATCAAAAGCTGACGAGCTCCCTCCTTGAGAAACACACGAGCCGGTGAGCGCCCTGCTCGTGCCTACCACGGCCGAGCAATGTGTCTTGAAGATAACTGAGGGGGAGCAAATTGTTCCCCTATGCCCCTGCTCCAAGCAAGGCAACTATTTCAGGGGGTATTACTTGCAGTACTCCTACATTTTTGGGGGGTTTAGTTGAATTCTTTGTCTCATCTTGCAGCATAGAGAAGATGTCAGTTCATTTTAAAAAAGAAAGTCATCAGGAGTGGGAGGCGTGTCTTGTTTCCTGAGACACTTTGCTCCTGATAATTATTTTCTTGTAGAGTATGCTCGCTGCCTTTAAAAAAAATTCACAGTTAACCAAAACAGGTCTCATAGGATTTGCAGCTGTAAACTGCTCATTGAATTGTACGGATTTTTTTTCTGTCTCTTGCATTCAAGAAATCTGTGTTACTTACAGAGCTATTATTCCATCGTTTCCGTTCTTAGGTCTCTTGTCATCCGCTGCAAAATAGTTATTTGTCTGAACTGTAAGCTGCTTTCAGGAGTTTTTAGGAGAGGATTTGTAATCTATCAAATACAGCAGAATTAAAAGATTTCTGGTTACAGATTTGCTAGCATTATTAAAGCTGAGGCATACATGTCTCCTTGCAGCTGCCTTCCTGCTTTTTTTCTGCCTGTAGATTATAAATTTACCTGTTCAGTCTTTTGCTCTGATTCTCACTCTGTAGCAGTGGAAACCTTCAAAAGTGCCATCCTGCGGTAGACGATGTATGCGTTTACTTACACTTTCTTTTCTTCTGGCTGCAGTGATTAGATTAGGGATGAGTCGTTTGTGTTATGCGACAGGATAATGCTTGTTTGAGCAGCGGTGTCGAGGGTGGCCACCACCAGGACGGCGGTTTGCCTGGTTCAGCATGGACACTGGGCTAGCTTGCCGGTGTGGGAAACAGAGGTGTGTTGCTTTAATGCAGCACCATGCTATTTTCGGGGATGGAGGTGCAGCAGCAGGGCCGTGTGGGCACCTCTGCGTTGTGCTTACCGACTCTGTACCCACATCTCGCCATCGCTGCTCAGGTCTTGCCTATGGGCTTAGGTTTGAGGGGGAGAAATTATCCTTACGTTTGAACATGAATCTAAGATACATGAAGCACACTAGCATCACTGGTTTATTGTTATTTGGAGCTTATAGGCTATAGGGTCCAAGCCCCAGGATAGAGTCTGAATTTTTGATAATGCGGTTAAATCTTCCTACGCAACTGAAAGATTAACAGAGGGAGACGACTGGCCAAAGTTCAGAGGATCTGGAGTGGTCGTGGGTGATGTGAACCGCCGGGCAAAGTGTTTGTCCATATTGTTCCACTTGAACCATTTTTCAGACGCGCTGGGTTTGGAGAATCAGATGCAGGCAGGCATGATTGCATACATGTCTGAAATTTATGCCTTATTATTGCATTGTTTTTCTTGCATATGAAAATATATACTTAAGGTTCGAGGATTAGGAAAGGAGCAGATAACTGCACATTTCAAAACTGCAGGGGCTTTATTGTTGGTTTCATTATCTATTTTTGTATCCTGCTGCTTGCAGCATCTGATCGGATTAAAAAGTGAGATATATATGTATGTATATATATATTTTTTTTCATGCTTTATGAGCTATACGTACATAAAAGCATGAAAAACATCTTCCTCCTCATTCTTGGAAAATCAGAAAAGAAGGGAGGAGGAGAAAACCAGTCAGATGTGAGGAAGCCTGGTGTGCTGTACCCTTCTTCTTTGTTCTGTGTTTTCTCCCCCATGTTGCCGCCTGCAGGGGTGGGAAGTGCGTACCCTGTGTAGTACAGGTGTGCTGACCGGCCGCTGCGGGCTGGGGGACAGGGCAGGGACAGATTACGGCTGCCCTGTCATTCAGTGAGAACGCTGGTGGACGCCTCCTTTCTCTGCCGAGGTGGTGGTGATGTTCATGTAAGAAACTGTATCTTAAGAGCTCCATCCTCTCGTCGAAGGCTGGCTAGGCCCAGACCTGCAGGAGAAGAAGGAGGAGGAAGGCTGACCACCCTTCGGACAGAATGGTCAGGTCTGGGCTAAAAGCTTGCCTGCCTCTCGACTGCGATTAAGTGAGAAGTAATTTTGATAGGTTTGGATTCATGCAGGGAGAAATACCAGCAGAATTACATTCAATTAACTGAATTCTATAAGCCTTCTGTCTACTGCAGGAATTTAACATTTTTGTTTTGTCCACTGATAGCTTTGGATCAAAATTGAAAGTGGTCATTAGCGGTTTGTTGCTAAACAATATTCTCGGGGTTATTGATAGACATCAGACACAAATTTTAGCCATTTCTTTTTCACTTCTACGTTAAAATTACTTGATTTCACATGTTTTCTTCTCACTCAGTTTCGTATGATGTGCCCTTTCGCATGTCACACAAACCGAACTGCTTTGTTTTCTCTCTCTTTCTGGTTTGCCATTTGTACCGTTTCCTCAGTTGAGATTCAGACTTGTTCCCCTCTGGTAGTTTTGACCAAAATCCTCTGGCAAATGAAACTGGATTTTTGTTTTGCAAAGAGGACAGGAGATTGGAGAATGGCATAAGATTGTCTTTTGCGGGGAGGAAAACCTAGGTCACATCTTCTTATTACACTAATATTTATCAGGTACTCCACCACAGTATAATAAATGTCATCTCCTCACAGAGCAGTGGCTGTAGTTCCTAAAGCAGTGCCATGCAGTCTAATAATTCTTGTTAATGGGTAGTTGGAATTAAAGAAAGGGCATAAAACAAACAGCTGGATTTTGTGCAGTTGTCCCTTGGAAGTGTTAATAACAAATATTCAAAAGTCCCCCCTAGCTTGTCGTTTGATCCAAGGAAATGGATAGGTAACAATGTGCAATGTGCCGAGGAGGAATACGACACAAATCTGAAATTCGGTGATGTTTGTTCATGAGGCAAGAAAACCATGCTAGCCTGCAGATACTGGGCTTTCTTCTGCCCTGGCTGTAATGACACTCACCAGGTGTGGGGTGGATTGAGCTGTGCATGGGTGTGAGCCGAGTGTCCACCCGTGCACAGCGGAGCTTGGGCAGCTGCTTTGCCACAAAAGGGTCAGAAATAAGGTAAAATGAAAACTAAAATCTCAGTGTTAGATGCCAGTCTACTGAGGTCACAGTTAAATTTACTTGCAGAGAAAGGAATTGGACGTCGGTGGTGCAGTGTGTTTGTCCTGTTAATTTAGGAGCTGGTTTATTGGAGGGGGGGGAGCAAAATAAATGCTGGTTTGTAAATATATCTTCTGTATTTATTAATTAATATTTTTGCTCATGTGTTATATAAATAGACTTGTACTTTGTGCTGTGTTCTGGTGAAGGGTTATATCTAGAAAAAGATGAAAGCTGCATTTGGTGTTTCAAATGAAAACAGAGCTTAATGTCCGAATTCCTCTGTTAATGTTGGCTCACAGCGAGGGTCAACCTGTGGCCTGCAGAGCGAGCCCCTTGCTCTCTGCAGATGTTATTCTGTGCCTACACAAAGCAGCTTAGGGATCAGAGCCTGATTTTTATTTTATTTCTCTCTTTCTCTTTTTTTTTTTTTTTTTTTTTTTTTTTTTTTTTTTTGGGGG